GAGAGAGAGAGAGAGAGAGAGAGAGAGAGAGAGAGAGAGAGAGAGAGAGAGGGAGAGGGACAGAGAGAAAGACAGAGAGAGAGAGAGAGACAGAGAGAAAGACAGAGAGAGAGAGAGAGAGAAAGAGAGAGAGAGAGAGAGAGAGAGAGAGAGAGAGAGAGAAAGAGAGAGAGAGAGCCCTTTGTCTTTTATCTAGAATTTGTCTCACCAGTGTACCTATAAGTTTCCAGTCCGTCTATCATAAGAAAATATTCTATTCCCTGGTTTCACCAAAAGAAGCTGATTTCTTTCTCTATGTCGAGGGGGACTGAAAACTCTGTGTGTGTGTGTGTATGTGCGTACGTGCGTGTATGTGTGTGTGTGTGAGAAGAGAGAGGGAAGAAGAATAAGAGAGAGAGAGAGAGAGAGAGAGAGAGAGAGAGAGAGAGAGAGAGAGAGAGAGATAGATTGAGAGAGAGAAAGAAAACAGCTCTGACCCAACTCTCGTCCGAAAATGTTCTATCTCCATCTTTTTCAAAACTTGTTGTTTCATCCTACCGTGGCTTGCAGAAGACAGAGTTCGATTCTTGTGTGGGTAGAGGTATTTTTTTTTCATCAAGTAGGGGGCCTACGACCGCCTGTGAGCTGGAACGCCGTCACAGGCAAAACAGCACATCATGTAAACCGTGCCCAAGTGTCCATCGTCTGTATTTACACAACCGGTGCACCGTAACCGCCCAGGCCCGGCTAATTATCCAAACTGATTGTAGTGATTTAACAGACAGGGAAGACTGATTGGAAAACATAAAAAAACAAGACAGGCAGGGAAGACTGAATTGAAAACATAGAGGATGGGACAGACAGGGAAGACTGATTTTTAAAACATAGAGTACATGACAAACGGGAGGACTGATTTGAAAACAAAGAGAACAAACACATTTTGCTACCGATTTGAACTTTTATTTCCATACTGCCGGTTTCTCATAGTTTACAACACATTGCCAAAGCAGTGCGGCGGCCGCCGGGATGTACATTCCACATGTTCTATGCTCTGCGTAGTACCGTGTTGGCCGCTCGGTTCCAACCAGAAAGTGGGCCGTTGCCCGAACCATCGTTTTCCCGGCCACCCTTCTGGTTTGAACAGAGCGTTACACCCTTGCGCCACGGTGAGGCCCGGTACTTCCGACTTCCGCAAGGGGGGGGAATGGGGAGGGGAAGTCTGTGAGCTGTGGAAGACAAAACAAATAAGCGATAACAAAAACGTTCCCTACAATTTGGTCCCGTACCCGATACCTGCTGACGCCGTTAAAGAACTTGCTATTTTCCCATAACCGGTGACGTGGGCCAGTTCCAGTTCCCCGCGGACACCCGTCACCCACATAATTTTATCACCCCCTGCACTTCCCCCCAAAAACACCCCCCCCCACCCCCCAACAGCCGAAACTGACATGTTACGTAATGAGGGGTCAGGGGTCAGTTCCCCACTAACCCCTAACCCCTCAGAAAGAGTTCCCCAAACTGGTTGAAAGATGGAAACAGCTCATGCCCCCAAAAAGCTGTTACCTATTACACTTGCATTAAAACGGATTTTTTAAAATACAGTGATTACTCAAAAGTGCAGCTTAGCGAAAAAATGATCTACACCCCCCTCCCCCTCGCTTCTCTTCAAACTTCATCAACTTTTTTACTTCACACCTTACCCCCAACCCCCTCACACTCACAAAGGTACTGCTGCCTCAGTCTCAAGCTAGGAACAGACCACGCATGAGACACACGGACAAACTGGACTGGCCACAGATACGGAAGCAGGAAGCTGAAGGGACTATTAAATCCTACGGAGACTGGCCCGCTCCTTAACGTCAAAAGCATCAACTGAGGCGTCTTATCATGCTAAATAAGAACAAAGACACAAACTACACACACATGCATCAACTAGTCTCATTTCCCATATTGGAATACTTTGCCGTTCCCTTAGAAGCCAGGCTCAGGGTCACGTCGAGGAAACTCTTCGGGAAGAGAGAAAAAACAATGCACAGAGGGGGGAAAAAAAAAAGGAAATTTAGAAAAATGTCTTCTGAAATGAAACTTATTATTGTAAAAAATGATAATTTTACAGACATACCAAACCATAAAAAAATTTATTCATTCATTCCTTAAACAAAAAATTTTAAAAAGTAGGTTATAAAAATAACAACAACAGCAACAATAATAATAATCATCATATATTTTACAGACATGTCAAACAAAAAAAATAAAAAATTATATAAATAATATATTTTTAAAAGAATTTAAAAACAATTTTAAAAAACTAAGAATTTTACTGACATGTCATACTCGCCTCCTAAAAAGATTTTTTACACATTAATTAATAAAAAAAAAATACTAGTAATAATAATAATATAAATTTTACACACATGTAAACTCAATCAACAAAAACAAACAGACTTCCCCACCCCACTCCCCCACCTACCTGCTCCGTTGTTTCTCCTGTCGGTAAAGAGTTCTATAATTAACTCTCAAACAACCCGCTGTCATCTTCCACCTCGTCGTCCGTATCCACCAACAACACTCTGTAAATTTGGTCCAAGTCTACCTCGTCCTCAGCCCGCTCCCCAAAATCACTATCGTCGCTAGAAAAAAATTTCTCATCCTCCTCAAAATCCCCACTATCCTCCTCAAAATCCCCACTATCCTCCTCCCCGTCCCCGGAATCCCCCTCAAAACTCACCATCTCCTCGTCACTAGAAATAGGCTCTGGCTCCTCTATGATTATGGGCAAGATATGCCTGGCTCCGTCTGGTGCCCGCGAAGACTCCGAGTTCTGGGGAAAGAGAAAGGGAAAAACGGACCTGACCCAAATTGTTCCGGTTACGAAGTCAGAGGGCTCGGAAACACTATTTAGAAATACCCACAGAACGAGAATGACACAATGACACGGTTGTTTTAAAAATGAGCCACCCAGCGAAAGTGTCGGTCCGCACCAAAAATATTTTTGAACATGCTACAGCTAGTCCGACAAAGGGACGGCTTTTTTAAAGATGACTTTTAACTGGCGACACCGATTTCTAGCGAGCTACCGCATTTGGGTCTTTTATCAATTTGTCCCATTTACATCAGTATACCGTGTCAAAAAACAGCTCGGTCAAAGTTCTCACCAGGAAATGTTATATCACCATATTTCTAAAAAGTTGTTTTAAGGTTTAGTGTTTGTGTGGGTGTGGTTGTGTGGGTGTGTGTGTGTCTGGGTTGGTGTGTCTGGGTTGGTGTGTATGTGTGGGGGGTGGGGGGGGTGTGTGTGTGTGTCGGTATGTGATTGTGTGTGTGTGGGGGGGTGGGTATGTGATTGTGTGTGTGTGGGGGGTGGGTATGTGATTGTGTGTGTGTGGGGGGTGGGTATGTGATTGTGTGTGTGTGTGTGTGTGTGTGTGTGTGTGTGTGTGTGTGTGTGTGTGT